GTATTATTAAGAACAACATAATCTAAAGAATATACATTCAGGTACTTAATAACACTAAAATTATGGGCTTTCATTTCTTATGTTTATCCAGTGGCATACACTTTTCCAGAATCTTCAACATGAAAAATATGGAATTAAGCAGATTCATACACTGAAGTCCAGTAATTTTTAAACATAAAATCCCATTTGCAGTACTGATTAGAAGCAACATTAACTGAAGACAGAAGGGAAAACAATCACCAAGAGAATTTACAACTGAGGTTAAGGGACACAGGAAGGGAATCAGAAAGAGGGAGACAATGAAACCTCATCAGAAAAAGACGGATTGAGAAATCTAAATAGCAACTGAAAACATCACCTCATTTGACTAGTTCTCAATTCCTCTTGCTCATCCCACTCCACCATTCAGCGACGCCTGGCATTCCACAATGAGATATATTCAGTTCTCCAAGCTGACAACTTTAAATCATTCTCAAGTCCATCTAAAAATTGTAAGCAGTTTCCTATTTCAGTAAATAAGTAAAACTCTACAACTCCTTCCCTTCATTTCTCTGCCCTGTCTTTCCTCTTCCTCTTGTGTCCTACTAAAACAAAATCCTTCGTTCTTCTTTGTATTTAAATGAAGATTCCTCAGTAACAATTTCTAGTTTTCTCCCAGTCCTAAGTCTTAGCTGCCAAATGCCTATCAGCAGATAAAATCTAAAACCTAATGGCAGAAGTGAAATGTTGATACTCTGTATGTAAATATTTCATTCTGGGATAAACTGTAGAGGAGCTATTGAAAGATGCAACTCAACTTCCCTGTAAGTTTTAAACAGCAGGACATCTCTTGTGAAGGAACCAGAGGGTTGCTTCATTTTTTTTTTTCTTCTGAACACATTTTCTTGCTCAGTGCAGGTGAGTGAAAGCAGGTTTATACTGACATGGGTGGTGTCCTTATTTAAGAAAGTTCTGGTTCTGGTGTTACTACTGCTACTTGCAGTTTGGCCAAACAACAGCAGATGAGAAATTCTTATGATTTCTCTAATTTTCACAGATTTCTGGGAAAACAGTAAATCAAGCCACTCTTCCTTGATGTGACCCCTGACAAGCTGCCTCTCAGGCAGCACACATAGTCTTGGTCATCATGTGCAACTATTCCCTGAGGATTAAAAACTGGAAGAGACATGGAGCAACAGAAATGACTCAACAATATACAAAAATGCATGGGAGAAGAGTAGAGTCGTGATGGCACCTATCTTCTAGCACCCACTAGTCAAGCAACCAGAGCCATGAGGTCAGAGAACTCCAGCCTTAAAAACCTATTTCTTTTAACCTATCAAAAAATCTATTTCTTTTTATTATTCTCAGGCATACCTATCTTACGTGGGGGTTAGAGATCTGCATCAGCTGAGATTTGCAGCTTCTTCCACCAGCAGGGTTACATGATCAGACTTTTTGCTATAGTACAGGCTGGACATTGCTAGGGCTCTTTTTGATAATTTTGAGTGTAGCTTCTACCCAGTTAACCCCACTGTTGTGGAAACAGTAGCTACAGCTAAGAAGGTGATGTAGATACTACTATAAACATTATCAGACCTGGTTGGATCTGCAAATTAGAATGAGTAATGGAACTATTTTGCACAGTTTGCTTCTAATTCTGACACAGATGGCACTTAAACAAGGATTCCAACCTTGGCAGATTTCTTCAAAGTCAGTGCCAAGGCCAGGATAATCCTTTCTAGCAATTTTCTCCTTGATTTTTGAGCTACCAACTTCCAAATAAAATAGAATTTCTTATCTGCTGCCCTCTTTCTACAGCCATGCATTGAACAAGCTCTGACAAGACAGGCCTTCAAATACTAAACCAAGTGACACCAAGAGAGTAATGAATCCCTACAAGGTACAACCTTCATCTCTTAATCTTTATCTTCGGGTGGGTGCCTCACAAGGAAGAGAAAAATTAGTGATTCAATGAAAAGGAAGTAAAAGAAAGAAAAAGTAAAAATATCTTCCTTGAGGTAATTCTGCTCTCCAGCTCTTAAATTATGCCAAGTGTAGAATAATGAATAATGACTCTTTTTAAGGCCAGCATTAATGAACAATGGTTGTTTTTTAAAGTTAGCATTCATTACCAAAAGGAAGATGAGACAAACTCAGACAACAGAGCAAAAATAGTGCAATGGACATGTGTGCATGTTTCCTTGCAACGGACACCTGTGCATATTTCCCTGCAATGGACATGCATACGTTTCCTCACACAAAACCACTTTTGAGAAAGTTCTTTAGTCACAGCATTAGGCAAATAACCAACAGAGCCAACTCTGAAGAGAATGGAGACCAACTCATGAAGAATCACCAACTGGAAATTTGCACCAGCCATTATGTTCTCTTCTGATACAAATCTTAATGTTATCAGCACAGACACATTACAGGAAAAGAAGATACACCAGAAATCTCATATCCTTAAAACAGACATTTTGTTAATTTATTCTAATAAGCATGATGAAAAGTCTTCAAAGCTGACAAGAGCTCATTAACATAGGCTTGCATGCTAGACAGGAAATAAGGATAGACACACATTTCTAAAAAAATTAATTGCTGTTCAGGATCTAGATAAACACTCCCATCGACATCAATAGGAGTTTGCATGTAGAGAGAGTTTAGCGTACAGTACATAGACTTTGTAGTCAGATTATGAATTTTACCAATTATTAGCCTTTATAAACATTAGGCAAAAAAAAGAAAAGCTTTGTTTTTGTTAGTTTTGTGTCTGTGTTTGTTTTTTAAGATTGCTCTTATAAGGCCACATAAAAAAAAAAAAAAAAACAAAAAACAACATATAAAGGATAAAAGAGGAGAGTATTCCAGTAAGGATCTATTAACAACCGATTGTTTATCCCAGACAAAAACACAAGCCACACATATGAGCAGAAAGTAGTCTCATGAGTTCAAAATCATTGTTTTTAAGAACACTTCAGTTCAGTGAGTTAAGTGCACTTTGGAGATGCCTAATTTTATAGTTTTCTAAAATAATTAATTCAGAAGGAATACTACTTTTACTAATATAAAAGTCCTACGCACTGAAATTTCAGATCAAGACTTTGACAGATCTTCATGTTTCCAACAGGCATGCAGTCATTCATCACTGCTCTGCACTTTGGTTTTCTCAGGACTGTACTCTGGAATTTCTGCAGACTGAAAAGCTGGCACAGAGAATTCAAGATGTAAGTCATACTATTTTCAGTGCTTCTTTATAGAAAACCAGTGCATATTTCTCCAGACCTGAGAAAACTTACAATCTTCTCACATCATCCAAATAAGAAAGAAAATAAGTTGTCACGTATATTTCAGACATTAAAAAAAAAAATTATCTTGTTCCATACTGCCAGTCAAACACCTCCAAGCTATGCTTTACCTACCAGCAACTGAGAAGAGAGTATATATTTCGAGCACAGAAGATGCTACACACAACATAATCCAAAAATCATGAGAATTAAACATCAACAGGATGGAGAAAAGGCACCAGCTACTACTGCACGCAATTAAAAGACAAAAAAAAAAAAAAAATAATCAAAACCAACCTACCAATCCAATTATCCATCAGAGACTCTGCAGTTACTGCGGCTCCTACATGACTTGCAGCCTTTCTGATCAAGGGCCGTCACAGGACACCTAAGCAGTAAGAATTTCACATTTCAAACTCAGAATACCTACCAGCAATTGCCAGTTTTCAAGAAGTACAGGGATACCTCTTTCACTTTTCTCAATTTTAAAATACTGAAACACAGTGAAGATATTCAAGGTAAGTCTTTTTTGTTAGCTTGTCCTATTCCTATAAGTAAACTAACCTCTGATCATATAAGTAAACTAACCTCTGATCATCTATCTCCTTTGCAGCGAGGAGCAAAACGACTCTGTTAGATCCCCTGCCCTTAACTCATCACCCAAGTTTCTACATATGATTTCTCCTCTAAGCTTACAGTATAATGATGGAATTCCACAAGGGTAGAGAAAAGAACATTTGATAGGTATCATCACAATAGTCTGTGCATTTTCACCATTGAATGAGGGGAAGAAGCCCACCCAAACCAGTCCCCCTAGTGACTCTGTGCAGTGGGAGTCTGAGGAAATGTGGCAAATCACTACTCTGCCTTTTTATGTGTGAGGCCAGCTTTCTATTTTGGCTTTGGGTTTTTTTCCCTGAAGAAGACATAATCCCTTATGGAAACTAGGCAATATTTCAAACCATTTATGAAATTTCCTGCTGTTTCTATTTCTGAACAAGTTTAAAAAATACTTCGTACACAGAAAATTCAATCTGTATCCAGCAGATACCATTAAATAAAATATGCTGACCTGTTGGCAATTGACAGGTCTGATTTTAACATAGCACTTTGTTTAGCCTGGTGCTTTCTAGTCTTTCCAGCACTGATACTGTCTATAAAGAAGCTAAGAACGTTTAAAAGACATTTGATTTATTGCCATTTCCAACCTGGCATCCATACCTTTCAGAATATATGCATGACAATCAGTCCTGTGAAAATGTTTCCTGTAGTAATTTTAAAAGTGCTATGTGAAATACATACAGAAAAAGGTAAGACCTTCTAACAACTGTTCAAATGCCTCCACTAGCTAATAAAAAATGCATGTAAGGAAAAAGTAGGCTTCATATGCTGTGTACCAGTAGCCCTGTTCTGAGTTGAACAAAGCAGGAGACACTGTACTCAGGTGAAAACACAAAAATCGCTTGTCTGATGCTCTACAGAGAAGAAAAACCACTTGCTTACTAAAACTAAGCACAACAGAAAAACTAGGAACCTCTCCAAAAAGTGTTACATAAGGCATTGTCAAACTTCACGTCACCTCCACAGGGCCGCAAGTTGCTATTTTCCCCGCATCCCCCGGTGCGCAGGGATTAATGATCTAAATGACACAGTTCTCGGATACGAGGTAATAGCAGAAGCCTTCCCAAGGGAGCGCTTTCCGGGCTGGAGGCTTGCAGGGGAGGCTGGCAGGTGATGGGGAAGTCACCCTGCTCGGCTCAGCGTCCCGGCCGAACTCTGGCTCTGCCCCCGGGTCCCGTTCGGGCGGGCAGAGCGCTCACGCCCCGCGGCTCGGCTCCCTGCGTGAGCCGCGGCCGCCAGCCCGGCTCTCCGCCGGCGCGGAGCAGCGGCACTCGGCGGGACCCCGGCGAAGCGGGGCTGGAGCCGGGGCGCAGACGGAGCGCAGCCCGACCGGAGCAGAGGGCGTGCGGCGCCGAGCCAGCGAGTGGAGCGGAGAAACCTCCTTCGCCCGGCGGAACGTGCCCCTTTGTGCCGGGAAGCGACAGGCGCGCCTCCGCCTGAGCATCTCTTCAATTCCGGATCTGATGGGGATTAAAATCCAGCAGATGAAATTGCCAGCCCGGCCCTTTGGACTCGGGTGCCCCCACCCCGGGCTGCTGGAAGGGAGACACTCACCGATTGTTTCTTGCCCTCCCCCGCCCCTCGCTCCCAAAAGCAGCAGAGACTAGATAAGAAGGTGCTTACCTTCCCCGGGTGGCTCCGGGGCCGCCGGGACGGGCGCTCAGCGCCCGCCGCTCCGCACAAGCAAGCGGTCCTTCCCCCTCCTGCGCTCCAGACGGGCAGCTCCAGCTCCGTCCCCGCAGCCCGGCTCTCCGGAGGTGTCAGCCAGCGGGTCCCAGCTGGGGCGGCAGCGGCAGCTCCACTCTCCGCGGGACGAGGAGCCGCTAACGGTGGGAGGAGGAGGAGAGCGGTGGCGAGGTCCCGACTCCTCTCGGGATGCGCCGCCGAGGTGGCCGCTTCCTCCGCCGCCCAGCTCAGCTCTCTCCGGGGCCTGCCCGCCCCGCGCTGTCCCGAGGTGCAGCCCGGCCGCGTCCGTCCGTCCGTCCCGCTCGCCTTCCCCCGCCCCTCTCCCCGGCGGCGAACCGCGCGGCGCACAGGCCCCGCCGGCGGCCAGGAGGACCCGGGGGAAACAGGGTATTCCGGCCCAGCCTCCTGCCCTCTCCCCAGGGCCTGGTGCACACTCTCCGCGGGGAGAGGAGGCCCTGCCCCGGCCTGGCGATCAGCTCCGGGAAGGTCACCGGCACCGCGGAGCCGAGCACGGAGAGGCTCCCTCCGGCACCGCCGCGGTCGCTGCTGTTACTGCCGGCCCGGAGTCAGCGACCGCTGGGTGCCGCGCTCCGACCGGGTTCGCTCCGTGCCCGTGCCTGGAGACCGCTCCCGAGTCTGAGTGCCAGGCTGTCCCCTTCCCCTTCCTTCCTTCCTTCCTCGCCTCCCGCCCCTTCCCCGCTGTCAGCCTTCCCCCGCCGGCTCCCTCCGGCGCCCGGTGCCAGGCTGCCCCCTGCGGGTGTCGGGGCCGCGGCCGCCCGCCCGGCGGGCCGAGGCGGAGCCGGGAGCGGCCGCCGCTGCCGCTCGGCGGGTGCCGGGAGTCGCACGCCCGCCGCCGCGCTGCCCCGGGCTGGCTCAGCGGCGGCTGCAGCGCCTGTGTGTCTGTGTCATGTCTGTGCCTGGGCGGGCGGAGGCGCGGGCCGAGGCGGGGCCAGCCCGCTCTCACGCCGCCCAGCGACAGGCGCCGAGCGCCCAACCAGCGCCGGCCGCCGCCGCGCAGCGCCCGCCCGCGCAGCGGGGCGCCCCGGGCCGCTACACCTGGGCAGCGCGGAGGGCCCCGCCGCCGAGACAGCGAGCCTGGCCCGCGGCCGCGGGGGCAGGGCCGGCCGGCCGAGCGCCGCCCGGCGCGGGTAAGTGCGGGGAGGGCGCGGAGCGGCCCGGCCCCCGCCTCGGGCGCCGGCGGCGGTGGAAGACCCAACTCCGAGCGCCGGTACCGCGTCAGGAATGAATAAATATGACGGTTTCTGGCTTACATGTGGCGGAGCGTGTCCCTGCGATGCGTCCCTTCGTGCTGGCAGCTGCTGAGAGTCGAATGATAAGCGCACCTTTTGTTATTTCTTTTTTTTTTTTCCCCGTGCGCATACAGCGCCTTTTTTTTTTTTTTTCATAATATTACTTCTTTAGCGGTGTAAAATGGATTATTGCAATACATCAGCATCCTGAGAGGACTGTATGATAACCTGTGTGTATGGCTGTAGAGTGTTCCTGAAATTCTAATAGGAATATGCAAGGAGAACAGAAATGAACAAATGTGCGTGCAATCCGATTTTAGAAAGGTATTGATACATTCTTAGAAGGGAAGATACAAAGCATACATGTGCTTTGAATAAAAATGTAAATAATCAAAAGTATGAGTACATGGGTTTATATTCAGGATTTAACTGCTTTCTTCTTCTAGAAGGTTAAGGGAATAGTTTAAGAGAAAAGTGTTGTTCTCTAAAAAATATAATGAATGCTAATTTCTCTCATTACATCAGCTGCTTGAATGCTGTTAACTCCTGCAGAAGTTTCTTTGTTGGGTAGAAATTATGTTTTGCAGTATACTGTACCAAAGTATTGTGAATTCTGGAACAGGTTATTCATAGCAAGATAGTATTTGGCAGACTTGATTAAGGTATTGGTTCATCAAGCTTATTATTCTACCACCAGCAGCATCCTTTTCCTGATGATTTAGTCAAGAGCGGTATAAGATGAACTGAAGTAAATCATGATGTTGGACATGCCGCTGATACCACATGTGTTACTAACTGAAAATTTTGACATATTATTACTAGGAGAGCATTTTTCAGGGGAAAAAACCCCAACAACTCTGCTTATCTGTAAAAACAATTAAGTTCTGTTAGGCAGGATTTTCTGGAATAGCTGTGGTGACATAGAGATTGATGTCTATGTGCTTATTTTCCTAAGCAAATCAAAGCCAGAAATGAGCTGTACTGAACTGACTAATTCTCTGCTTTCTCCTACGTGAAGCTAAAGGGTCAGCCTTCAAGTAATAATGTTCCCTTGCACTGTGGAAGGATTGCTACTGCTTTGGTGACAGTCACAATGAATGAGTTTCTGGGGATGTAGGGAGGACGAAGCAGGACTCTGTGTACAGCTTCATTATTAAGAGAACCAGTCTGTCCACTCTCTGTTACTATAATTTTCAGCAGTTCCACAGTTTCCTGCCTCATGCTATGTCTTCAAAACTACTAATGTGCCAGAGTCTGATCCTGCAAAATATTGAATGATGTCTGGAGGTTTTTAATGTTCTTCTGTTTAGGGCAGGGAGCTCTTGGCACCCACAAGAATTATTAGGGTTTAAGAGCAGCATGGATTATTAGGATAATCTAATATGGCACCATACATGACAAAAGATGGAACTTCATACTGGGACAAAATGTCTTACTTTAAATTGCTCTCTATCTGTCAGGTTGGTGACCTACTCACAAAAGGACAACAGTTGTCCATATGCAGAGCAGTGTTTGTGGTAAGCTGAGAATGCTTACCACAAGGTTACAAAACCTAACAGGGACAGGGGGAGTAACTGCCTATGAAGATAGAGTTTTGCAGAAATGGTGTTTATAAGCAAGTAATCTTTTTCACAGTCATAATAAAATTGCTCAATCAGTCTTTGTCCTTGAAAATGCAGAAGTGGCAATTGCTTTGGACATAGAGTAAACAAGCAGTGCAGAAGGATACTTATGCCAAGGACAGGTAGAAGAAATTAGATGCAAATATTTGCATTTCAGATTTCATTCAGCCAGGATGAAGGTTTCTCTAGAAACTACACAGGTTCTGGAGTGACATGTCTATTTGCATGTTAAAGAAAACAAACAAACAAAAAAGCAAAACCTGTAGTAATGTCAAGTGTACAGATTTTTTTTAATGATTGTTTCATTAGGTCAAAAAAAATTAAAGCTTTAATAGTCCTATTATTTAAAAATTTTGTAAACTGGGTGTTTAATTTTTTAATAGAAACATGTCAATGTTGTGATGGTGTTAAAGGATTGATTTATAATGATGTAAAATTATAATGTGAATATTTGGTGTCCTTTTTTCCTTACTGGAACAAGAAATAAGACATAACAGTTCAGAACTTCAAACAGATTATGATGTTTTCACTACACCAGATCATCAGTAAATAAAATTATAATAAGTCTGTTCATAAGAACATACACACTTATGGATTATCTGGTTTTTGATTAAAAGAAAAAAATTGCTTTCAATTTTACCATTTTGTGTGAAGGGGAGGTGTCAGGCCCACAAGTATTCAAACTTATGAAAGTGCATGAAGTTCATCTCCCATCTAACACCAATGAAGTCCTTTTTACATTCTTACAGTTACTTCATTGTTCTAGCTGAATTCAACCACTATGAGGTCTTTTGAGAAAAAAAGACAGTGCTTTGTTCAGGAGGCGACTGAAAAGTGCATTACTACTTTAAATAGTGCATTATGTGCCAGTTGAAATAGAAGCTAAAATATTCCTGAAAGCCAGGAGGTTCTTTTGTCCCCATTCCTACACACACACTCCTGTGGCTGATCAGCATTTTGAATCCCTAATGAGGTAGATGCTGCTGCATCACACTCAGGATATGGGATGGACAAAGCAAAGTCCTCCATTGCCTTCTTTTATATGGAGTTGATGAAATAGCTACTTTCATAAAATTAACCATTTATTGTGTTGTCACAGTGAACACAAAGATCTGCTCTAGCAGGCTGGCTGGATTGTGCTAACTGACCCACAGAAGGTTGTGACTCTTTGTGAGTTGCTTTTCTTCTAAATGCTAAATTGCACAACTTGTTGATAGTATCAGAGCATGGAGAGCAAGACCAAGAGTCTGAAGCATGTCATAACCCTTGAGATGCTTGTTACCATCTGCTGCTGCAATGAGTACAGCACTACTGCAGAACAGGTTGCCTAGCATGTTTTGTAGTAGGAAAAGGCATTTAGACAAGAAATAAGTGAAATTTAATCTCTGCTCCAGAAAAATAAATTTCCAGTTGTTGAGCATGGAGTGAAAGCTCTGTTACATATGGGCAGTAAATTAAAATTTAGTGGAGATTTTCCTGTGCATGTCACTGAAAAAGACGTAAAATCAACAAAACCCAAGCAATACCAAGATTCAGATTGCCTGGGATTATAGGAACTGGAAAAAATTAAAGACTGGTAAATTGAATGCCTTTAAATAACCAGAAAATACCATGAAAACCTAAAACTTGAAGAATGCAAAGGAATTGTAGTTATTAATTCAGAAATTACTTTTCTAATACCAAAATAGAGTTTAAACAATAGTTTAAATTAGAAATAGTTAACACAGATTGTTCTGTGTTAATTTCATTTTCATGTTGGTTTCTCCCAGATTTCAGTTGTATTTCTAGTTGTAAAAAGGTAAACACCCATAACTAGGGGCTTACATAGCATTATGCCTTATAAGAAAAACGTTCTGAAGGAAATATATTTGTTTATTTTCTGACACAACTCTCTGTTTACTTTACTTTCATTGTTGCCATTTACTACTTTCCATTTGTTGTGATTCAGTCATGTAGAGAAGAGTTGGGGGGTTTTGTTCTTTTGGTTGGTCTTTTTTAAGGACTAGTGATTTTAAAACAATAAAAACTAGTGAAGATATGCAGAACAAATATGATTATTAATTTTATGAATATAATCTGATTTTGGGTTGATAGTACTTCTTTAAATTTTGGCCTACCATGGTCAACACAGTCTCATGTTTCTACTTACAGAACTAATGGATTACTATTTTGATAATATGATGTGCATAATTTAGAAAATACTTAATTTCATACCTGATTTATTTTTTCACAATTTTTCTTTTATATCAAGGAATCTTAACCCCTGTACTATTTGCAGCAAAATTCTGGATAATTTACAGTACCTTAATTGCTCTGTGTTAATACATATCATTGCCTTAACAGAGTCCTCTGGGAAGGAAAAGTAGTACTGGACAAACTTTAAAATAATTTTAAATTTCACTGCCTAGGAGGAGGACAGTGACCCAGGCAATCTAAAGCCTAAATCAAGGTATGTCAAAGTCACTGGAGCAGCTGCGTTGATTTCAGTGCTTTTTGAGCTGAACTATCTTTGCTGTCATAGTCTGTGTTCCAGGAAAACATATATACACACGCATTTTTAAGAGGTTTTTTTAAATAATTGTTTCTGTTTGACTGCTTCACCTCACTGCCAAGCAAACCGTGGATCTAGTGTCTCTTTCTTATTACTGTGTTTCCTTTGTTATACTTGGCCATTTATTACCCGTCACTGTGAATGCTGAGACTAAGAAGAGCCTTAACTGAATTGTAGACATGTATAATTAATATCTGCCAGCCTTTCTAGAAGTATTAAAGCGCAAGTATGTATTATTCCTCCAGTCTTAGCCTTGCACATTTAGATTTTAATTCATCTAAGGACACCTTTCACTATCTGGTGAAAGAGGATACTCTACCCGATCACAACAAGACTTTTTTCCATTAGCAATACCTGTTTTATACATGGAAGGTTTAATTGTTTCCAGAACAGCTTCATTAACTTCTGAAAGTGTTACCAATACAGGCCTCCCCAGAGCCAGGATGCTAATTAGAAAGAAAACTGGCCTTACATTAGTTTGAAGAGTGGTGTCTTTTTTTTTTTTTTAAAGAGAGCAGGAAGGCTCACTCCATCATTGACAGAGGTTTCTTCCAGAATGTACGAATAACTGCCAATTGCATGAACTCAGAGAATACCTGTGAGAAATTAATTATTCCCACAATTAAGCCACCTCTACAGACAACCAACAGTAGTGAGCCTAATAATGATTGTGTAAATAATGTTAAGATGTGCATTCAAGGTCCTTGCAGTTCAAGCAATGTTCTTTATGACAACGCTGTGTGTCAGCTCCAAGGTCCCTGCCTCAGTGGGTTGGGCATGTTTGGAGGTTGCCTTATGAGTACTTGGATTGCTTCCTCAGGTACCCAGATTGTCAGTAGAAACACATCTGGCCCTTGTCACATTTATGCTGATTTTATAGTAAAGGTGTTTTAAGTCTGACCAACAAAAAAAACTACAGTAAGTGTAAATACAAAATGTAAACTAAATTAAAACATATGGATAAATAATAAAGACACTGATCCTATTACATGTTAAAACATGATATCAAGACTTGTTGAAGTAATTTGAAGTTTTGTGTTGGTGGTCAGGCCTTTAGAATCTGTATGAAAAAAATACCTGGATTGAAAATAGGGATTTTTTATAAGGATCACTACCTAATGGATCAAATAAGAAAGTTTCTGGCCAAGAATAAAAGATAGAAATTATCAGTCAAATCCTAGAACTTCCATATTTTTCCCCATGAAGGTTGTGTTTGAAATATTTTCTAGGAGGGTTTCTCTAGAAAGCAGAAGTGCATTATAGGTGCTACTTACCAGTGAAGAGAGAGTAAAATAAACCCCAGATCCTGACTAATGACTCAGGCTTTTTTGCTTTTTGGCCATTGCAACAATAGGAATGCCCAGTATGAAAATTTTCTGGCAGTTTAACAAAATTAGTAGAAGAAAGTCTACTTTCATGTCCTTGTTAGACAAAAGCACAATGAAAATGTACATGCTTCTGAATATAAACAGGGAGCATAGTCTGAACAGCTAATGTGGATTTATTTAAGTGGCCACAAGTAGTTGTGTATCTTAGAAATGTGCTGTGAATAAACTAAAATGTTCTTTCTCTGGGGATAAGGTGTGACTGTGAGCTTCATCCTGCTCTCTGTACAGGACTGTCAGTGCTGAAGAAAGTTTGTGTTCCTGCTGACATTTCAGAAGTTGTGAGCTATGATCTGGACTTGCTACATTGGCAAAAGAATAGGACAGGTCACCCCATCTCAGCAGTGAAACTGTCAGTAAGGAGGGTAATTGTCCTCAGTCTCAACAGCAGTTACAGGGAAGCTGATGCTAAGGTCAGGCAACAAGGCAAGGCCAACACTAGTGCCAATGAACCTGTCAACATTAAACACCTCTTTTTCAGAGTAGCACTTCAATAGTCTGTGCTTCAGACTGTGTCTTGACATGGTAGGGGGTTTCCTTTTCATTTGGGTGAAGTTAAAGCTGTCAGACCTACTAGAGGCCAAGCAGACAAGGCCAGAAACAGGACAGACCTTTAGAGTCTGAAGGTGACATTGAAGGAATCCAGCATCAGACACAAAAAATGCCCAAGGAATTTAAGATATTTTACACTCCATGCATGTACTTGTCTTTCTGAGCTTGGCAGCCATACGGGTGCTAACATTGCTACTTCCTCTGAAATTGCAGTCTCTATCAGATTGTGTACTGAGGAAAGGAATAAGCTTTTACTTACAACATGGATGGTGTCAGAATTCACAGTTCCTGCATCACCTAAAAGAAATGACCAGACCAAGCAAAATTTCCAGTGAAATCAGCACATGTTTAAGTCTGTTAAAGGAAGAATTTAATCTACAAACAATATAATTTTGGACAACGTTTTTTTAACCAACATACAAGAGCTCAGTGCTGGAATCAAAAAGCTATCCTGTCACTGTGCCCTTTGCCCATTTTAAAAATATTTCCAAATGTGCTACTTTATTGTTCATATGTCAGCTTGACATTACAACAGTTTCAGTGAGAAGTTATAACTTGAGAGATTTCTCCAGTACCAGACTTGATGCCAATGGCCTTTTGAAACTTTTACCCACCTTCCACTCAGCATAACCAGGTGCAAAATAGATGCAGCCAAGACAAGTGATCATCAGCAGGAGGAACTGTTATTTGCTTGGCTTCTCCCAGCTCTAGGTGAAAAAGAAGCCTCTCCTTGGGAGTGGTCTTTATGTCAAGTACAGTGGTAGCTTGTTAGGGCAATCACTCAGCTTCATTATTACCTCATCTTTATCAATTAGCAGATTGAAATGAAGGATTATTGCAAGTCCTCTTTCTGCACTGTAATCTGTATGATAAGTTTGAGAGGTGTTGGGACATTTACTACTGGGTGATTGGCAGCTGGAGCCTCAGAACTAGTGATGGTTTATAAATCCTTTCTGAATTCTGCTGGGCAACAATGATACCAGTCGGGGAACATTAAAGGAAAAAAAAAATTACTTAACTCAGCCTTTAGAAATCTGTGCTTAGTAGAAAGTTGATAAAAGGGAACAGCTGCATCCTTAAAGAATCTATACCCATAAAGTAAGCTCAGACCTCTGCTTCTTCCTTGACTAACACAGCAGCTAAGAATCCTTAGAATCATTACCAGGCTTTACATCTGCTGATCCCTGACAGAAAATGATTTTTAAAAAATATTCTCTTCACCACTGAAAAACTGTGTTTTTTCTAAATGGGATATCCCTCTCAATTCAAGCCCAGGTAGGGATGGATAATGAAATTAACAATAGTGAGTTTATTTCTTCAATAGGAGAGAGAAAGAGAACAAAAGAGATTTGATGGGGTGTTGGGATACAAGATAAAAAGCAGGATTATCTGGGTGAAGAAATCACATGTTGCTAAGATAGAAAGAAGTTACCTTAGAGTTCTGTGAAGTTGGCACCTGATCTTTTTGAACATCAAATAAAGTAAGGGTCTGGTGGAAATTGCTCTGTCATCATGTAATTAATAATCGTGTTACAATCTGAAAAAGGGGTATCAAAATCTGTTTGTATGTGAGAACTTAGTTGCCATTTCCTAATTTTATATACTTGAGTTTGCAACCGCAGCAGTGTTCTGTTAGGGTATTACAGGAATGGAGAAGGTGGAGTCTTAATAAAGATTTTGTTGCTTCAAGCTTGTACCGACTGCATTGCTCACAAGTGCCTATATGAACAGGAAGCTTTTTTTTCATAGTTTCTAATGATGACACCTATTGTAAAAAAAATCCCCAAAACCTACTACTAGGCACAAGTAAAGGTCACTTGCCAAGATACCATTGAAGGTCTCAGATTATTATGATAGTCCAAACTGTTTATATTTGCTGTTGGATACAGTTAGAATAGAATTCTGCCATCAGATTTGGGATTTGATCCCTGAAATAATACAATAGATATTCTGCCTTCTAAGCATTTTTTTAAGAAACCAGGTCATTAATAAATGACATTTTTTGAAGAATATTTTGACAGGATTGGTGTAACAGGGCATGAGCAGAAAGACAATCCTAGCTACCAGCATTCACATGGTAAGGGCTGAGATGCAAGTGACACCTGCATGACAAATTTGATGCTGGAAGATATAGCTGTTACTGGTTAACTTCCATCTATCTACCCTATTTCCTCAGTAGATCAGTTTTTATATGTGCTAGTATTCAGGTGCACACCATGATTAATCTGATAATCTCTCTTTCTACTGTTGAGCAGATTTATGCTCAGAACAAAGAAAGTCGTGACCTACCTATCCTGTAACTGATGGCAGAATGTCCATAGCACACAGTCTCAGAACCATTTAGGCTGGAAAAACCTCTAAATAATTAACTAAAAACCTCTAAATAACTAACTTCAGGATATAAAATGTGAAATCCAGCAGAGGTGCAAGCAGAGAATACTATCTTAAGACATTATAAGGCTGATTTTAAAGAGGAATTATACCAGCTGAATTAGTACTATGTTCCAATTGATCTTCTAGACCTATTCCTTCTGCTAGGAAAGAAGGCAGCCTTTCAGAAAATACTAATTTTGAGTTTTCTCTGCTTGAAAGAATAGCCTCAGAAGAAGGACATGCTTGAAGCTATTTGTCACAAAATGTTTAAGTTGGCCAGAGAGCTTGAGACTTCACAAATATGCCTCAAATATGCAGTGCAATGGAGTTTCAGCATAGTGCACATCTCTGATATAACTGATGCTTGACGTGCTGTTTCAAAGGCATCCTTTCAAGAAAATTTCAGTGGACCCAGTCTCCAGCCTGTCCGCAGGGTAGTTGTGCAGATGAACACAAGTTTAGTGAGAAGATGACACTTTCTGTGTTAGAACCTTGACATATATTGGACTGATCAACATTCCTTGAATGTCAGGATTGCGCAACAAAGTCAGTAGCTCCATAACTCTGTACTTGTCAGTTAAATTTGATGGAAACATGTAGATACTTTTTTGTTTGGTTGGTTGGGGTTTTTTAAATGTTATTTCTCCCTTGCATTTGTAAGCCCTGGGTCACCAGCCTTTCTCTGGAGACTGAAGAAGCTTGTCTGGAAACATTATGTCAGTTTGTTAACAGGGCTGTTGGTTTTAGGAGTCTGAAAGCAATACGCTTTCCATTTTGTGTGTGTCATTTCACCAGGGACAGAAAGATATGGATGAGGTAGGAAGAGCAAATGCAGGAGGACAAGCAGTTAGTAGAAATCACTGAACTCCAATACTAAAAATATCCTGTCCCCACCAGTTTAAATTCACACCTACTCTGAGTAGGAAAGAGAAAAAAGAAAATTTCCATCTGCAGCTTTTGAAACTTCATTTGTCTCCTGAGTACTGAGCACCAGATCTTCAGTTTATAGAGCTGAAACCGCACCATATTTCTGGAGGATCTATTCTTCAATACCAGACTGCCAACTTGAGTGTCAAAATTACATATGACCTCAGCAGTACTTGAGGGCAAACAACAACAACTGCCTGGGGATCTCACACGATATTGTCAGCCTGATTAGGTTAAGCTGGGTAGTAGAATAGAGCATTTTACAGTTGGGTATAATGTGCAATTCATTCCTTAGCCTCTTCGTGTAGTTACTCTGACTGTTCTCATCTCTGCCTCTGGTAGTGGTGTTTAAACCTATTGCTTTCCTGAGACCTAGACACTGGTTCCTAATGAAGCACATGAGCAGTACTGGGGGATGACCATCTCAACACCAACCAGACACCAGAAATAACACTGCAGTGTGGTCTTGGCAGTGAGCAAAGAGAACGGAATCAAAGACCTGCATCATGCACTTAAAAAGTTTAAGTGCAATGAACACAGCAGTACACCAGGCTGGAATGTAGTTGCTGGAAATGTGGGCACAAAGATTTTTTTTGACCAGGTAAGGCTGTTAATGAGAAAAATTACATCGCTTCTAGTTGGTGTGCACGTTAAAAGCTGTGCCCCAAACAAATGGAATCAGATAGGATTCTGAACAGGCTGTGTAAAATAAGTCCCAATGAGCGGAATTGAGAAGAGAGGAACTTGTTGGTAAAACAAGTTAATTTTACCAATCACTGCAAGTAATCTCAAATAGATTCTTTATACTTTCGTATTTTTGTGATGTCAAGCTGTGTAAGAGTTTAGAAGTTTTCCAGAGCTTGTTGCAAATGCTATGACTCAGTGGAGGTCTGAGACTCTTTAGCACAAGACTGAAGATCCCATCTCTAGCCTCAGTGAGTCACCAGAGGCTATGGGTGCTGAGACCACAGCTGTAGAAAAGATGTACAGATATGCTGAGCACTGCATATTGTCGACTTTCACAGGGAAATCAAGTAGGCTTTTACAGGGTTATGTAAACCTTTGCAACAGAGCAGCACCATGTGAGCCATGGCCCAGTAGGCTGTTTTCTCTATACCAGGGCCATGGAAAACCAGCTGTGATTGCAGCTATCACCACTGAGAAAACACCCAGGATGAACAGAACTAAACAGTCTGAAACAATTATTGCATAAGAAATTGTTCCAGAGGGAAGCAAAAGGTGCAGTAGTAAAAAAGAACTAGTTAGGTGGAATCTACTACTGCTGTTATGAAAACATTGATTTAGGAAATAAGTTCTGGGATAGTAATCTCTGTATGATACAGAGGTAATTTTCCAGTTGACACATGTTTTTTCGAAGGGGAAGAAAATCAGCCTGACTTCTGTACTTCTTTAGTTACAGGAACCCCTTTTCCAAATTTCTCATCTATTCATATATTTCCAGATTCCCAGTTATTCATGGCTGCAAGTGCAAACATCTGGTCAGTGGGAGGGAGTAAAAGGTAGCCAGAATAAAGAACAGTTGTCTGGAGCACAGACAAATCACTGAGGAACTTTGCTGCTTATTTCTTGATTTCTTTTTTTTTTCCCTTTTATGGCTTGCGTTGGTGGGATTTACAGTCTAAGAGCTAACTCATTGTTAATGCTGGTTCTCATCTGGGAATAGACACATTTAAATGCTCATACTGTTGTAGGCACTGAAATTCAGCAAGCCTTTTTTTAACAGTGCTAATCTATAAAAAGCATAGGGAATGCCCATAAGAGGATCTTTTCCTTTAGCAAAAAGACACAACCTGATTAGAACATTACATAATCTTAATATATCTTTGGTATTTAAAGCAGAACTCAGACCCTAAGGTGTTTGTGATAACAGCATGCTGGAAAATGGAAAACTGCCAGTCTAGTGACTTTTTTGTGGTTTGCCCAGAACTGGTGGCAATTGCTGGATGAGAAGAAACACATGAGAGGAAAGAAGGATGGCTGCCAACAGTAAAAGTCACTGTTGCTCTTTCCTCTTCAGCTAAGACAAGAAGCCAATGCTCCAGCCTAAAGCAGGAACAGGTTGGTGGAGACTTAAGGAGCAGTGACAGATACCTGGACTCTGGAAGAGGTTGAGAATGTATGAAGATGGTCCTTGAATGCAGATCTCCAAAACTGAATGAAAATAAGTAATAAGAATACATGAAGAAAAAAAAAAAAACAACAACAAAAAAAAAAACAAACCCAAAACAAAACAAAACAAAAAAAACCATGAAGGAGGTGGAGAGAGAAATAGGTCAGGAAGAAGAAATTGCAGTGTGGTAAAAGAAAAGGTGGAGGTGAACAATGGAGCCAGAGACCTATGCAAAAATAAATGAAAAGAATGTAGGAAAAACATTATTTTGTGTTTCAGAGAACTGAAGGAAGTCATTAAGATGAAATCTGTGAGAAAATCACAGAGAATAAACACCAAAGGCTACAAACCTCATTGCAGCTCACAGCTTTCCCAGTGTGCTGAATGATTAACTGAACAATTTCATCCAACTTGTAAAATATTCAAAATACCATTAGTTCATTTTGTAGCCTCCTCATTTGATAAGCTATTAACTGTTGAGCCCAACTGTTCCATCAGTAACCAACTTGAATAGGAAGACCAGTAAATGGGATGACAGTGGAACATTAGTGAGTAAAATAGTGATCATTCTGTAGAGGTTAAATGGGAACGGCAAAACAGCTATGCTGGCTATTGCCCACCCTGAGCTTCTGCAGTAAGTAAGTGTAGTCAGTCAATCTCCAAATGTTACATACAAGAGTGAAGTCAAGATAAAAGATTTGAGCCTATCCCTGATCTGATCGCTTATGAAAAGGAGAGGAATTTTAGGAATATCAGCTCCAAGTGTAAATGAACTCAGAATGTAAGCAGGGACTGATATATTTGATTTATAAACACAGTATATAAAGTAATCCCAAATTTCTTAGAGTTCTTGGCATCTTGCAAGGACTCATGTCCCTTTTAGCATCCAGTATGGATTATGCTCAAAGTAAATTCCTCTGTTAAAGGTCAGCAAATCCAATAAATACATTCGCATCTTATCTAAGCAGATTGTTCAAGGGATTTTACAATGGTTAGTACATTTTATAAGCTGCAAAAGTCTTTAGCAATATCTGTTTTCCTTAGTTTCCTGTTAATTTGGCAAGGACTAACACACCAGTCTTCATCACAGACCAAGACTGCATCAGGCAGGATGAACTCCTTATGAACACTGACCACTGAGACTAATAATACCTAGTTATGGCAAAAGTTTCTCCTGTGTGGGCACTCACAGTTCTCCTCAAAGCAGACTGTGAGAATATTTGCAGCAGCTTTTGTCTCTCCCTGTAAACCGATGAAGCCCCCACCAAAATGCAAATGAAAATGCTGGTTTAGTCATATACCATCAAGGTCTCATCCTTTCTGCTTCCAATTTAACAGAAAGATTGTTTTAAAAAAAAACCCTAACCACATCAATGACCACACCACCAAAAGAAACTAACTCAGGGTAAGAACTTAGACTCAGATGCTGCTGGACAGAATTCCTTTTCTCAGATCTTTATTCAAAGTCTTAACAGTCCACATCTGCCTCCAGCAGGCAGCAGGAGATTCTGGCAGATTCACTTATGCTGTGAGTCTGGGGCAGCAAGAGGTTTCTGCTCATTTGTCAAGTACAATTTGAGGTACAGCTAAGATTTTTGTGTTATGAGGGTTTCATAGCCCCTTTTAGCAGAATGCAGTGCAGATGAAACATTTGAGTTAGCAAAAGGACAATGCAGAGTTTGTAATGCAAAATTAGACCAGATAAAATTGTAGAGGGAGAATTTTTAAGAGAAAGATAAGCAAATGTCACATTGGGGTTAGGGTCCTCAGGAAGTTAGAAGTGAAATTCTGTGGCTTCAAGGGTCTTTGGAAAATGGCAGCTTATTCCTTGGAGAATGCAGTAATGAACCAACTGGTCGGGAGGGGTGATGCCAGATGATGCAACGTGTGCATTGAAGTAGGGGGGGAGAACATGAAGTAAAGGGAATTTTCTCCAGTTTAATAGGCAGCTAAAGGAAAATTACTTCAGGAATTAAATGCATAAGGAGAAAAAAAAATACAGTGGCCCAGCATACTGGAAACTGGAGATAAATGTAGAGCTCTATTGTTTCCCAAAGACAGACACAATTTTTTCTTATTGAGAATTTTATTGTTCTTCCCCATCTCCAAGACACAGGAGGATCATGGCTCCGGAATCTCACAAAGTTACAGCCCAACAACCATTTCCCCAGAAAGTGACAGAGGAGAAAGATTTGTAGCAGTGGTGAGAGGATTTCTGAAAGAGAAAAAAACTGTTTTGAAGATGTTGTACACAGTGGTGTAAAGTTTCAAGCTGGAACTGGCATAAATCTCACATGGAGAAAGAAGGATGACAAAGCTGCTGTGGAACTTGCAGCTAGCTGTGGACCACCCCACGAAGACTGTTTTTCACTTCCACATTAACTTCACAATATGCAGTTTTCAGTCCTGTTGATGTTGATGCATCCTTCTGTTTCTAGCAGCTGCCTATGCACAGTATGTATTGTGGTAGAGGAATAATGAAACAGAGAATGCTTTCTCATGAGACTAAGCTAAGCAAGATGCCTGTCTGGTGGTAGCCAGCTTCTTTACTAATGAAAAATTCAAACCAATATATCTCCTTCACTCTAGGGCTGGCTCCAGCACTCAGTCAGCCTCTTCCTTACAGAAGGCTGACAGACCAATTTTAAAGCATACAAATCTCCTCATCTTTTCTGCATCTTTCCCAAAAGAAGCAGAACTGAGCTTAAAAAAAACAAAACCATGTAACCTAAACCCATAGTTTTAAGAGGAACTTGTCCCCAGACAGGTACCTGATAAAACAGTATTTTAAACCACTTTCCCCTGGCATTTTTTTCACCTGTTACTTTTGACCTGTAAATCAGCTCTCAGGAGCACTGCAATGACTGAAGCAACAAGTCTTGAGTCCTTTATCGGACAGCTAAGAACATGCTTTGTAGAGGTAGAAGCAGCAATACTGAAAGCATTCATTGCCTTAGCAACTAGGACAACCTCTTCTTTAATTAGCACATCATGGTCTGAACTTTGCTAATAGAACCTGCCTACACTGCATGCTAACCATGGGTTAGGTAATCTCGCGCTTGCCAACACAGGCAGCCTACCACGCTTCTGCTTCCTGACATTCTCCACATGAGCACTCTGTTCTCAGGTCCCACATCTGCAGGCAGGCTGTGGGTGGTGTTAATGAATGATACATCCTTGTGGGTTCTCACCCTGGACTCATGATCTCCTATCCCATCACATATTTGTCTGGGCAGGCAGGCACAGAGTGCTGTGGAACAGATTTTGTGTGCTCTCTTAGGACTTGGGAGGTTACTGTCCATGACAAAGGAATTATTTCCTGGCATTAGCTTAGCAGATGTGGTAGAGAAATAAGAGAGCTACCTTACTGCCCAAGCAACCTCCCTTGGCCTATCCTCTGCAGTTCTCTCTGCCACCTTCTTCTGGAGTTCCTTCACCAATGACATTACTGATGACTACATGAAATCTCCAAGATCCAATGGCACCAACAATTATGGAATAGACTCTTCCAGAAGATATGCCATATAGGTTTGTAGTGCAGTTATTCTCTGTTCCTTCCCCAAAATTGCAGGGGAAAAAACTTATTAAAAACCTGCTCAAAAGAAAATAGATATCTGGATGAAAACTAGCTTTGAGGGGAAAAAATAGGATTTACAAAGTCATTGTCGTAGCTCTAACTACAGCTCATTGAAATTTGTATCGGCATAGCAATAGTAGCACTAAGTTTAGAGCAGAAAGTAGAACTGCTCTGAGTTAACACTGCTCAAATATTCTGGGTTGAATTCTGCGCTGGCAATAGAGAAGAAGGGTCCAAAGCTAGCATGGGTATGTCTATGGGAAATCCTACCAAAGCAATGGTACAAATTGTGCTATGAGACAGCAGGTCTCACTAAGTGGGAAAAAGACAGCATTCAACAGAGGAGAAAACTAAATTTTGATTGTTTTAAATGCTTTATTTAATAACACTCTGAACTAAGGAAGCAAACTCTTCTCTTTTTTCTCCTGCTATATTGAATTAACCCTGGGATTTAGGGAAAGAACACAAGATCACACGCTGTGTTTGGAACACCTGCTCAGCAAAAGAGTGAATGACACGACTTGTGGGATCACCTTCAGGGTACTTTCACCTACGGTTTCTGTAAAACTGCATGACAAGATGTTTCTTAATTAAAATATTTACACGTTAAAAATATTGAAGGAGAGGTTTTCACAATAAAGTCTTGATGGTTTCTGTAGATATTTGTTTATTGTTTTGGTGTGGTTTGTTTTTAGCGTTGAACAAGATGAGCAGAAAGAGAAAGCTGCTCCCATCCTACAAAAGTAGAGATACTTACTCAAGATACCAGACACTCCTTATAAAGGTACATGCTTAGAAGCAAGAAATTGCACCTCAAAATCAGTAAATTCTCTGAGTGCACATGCATACCATACAGTATCAATCACACATAAAATATCAAGCTTTCATTTTCGAATGTGGCTAATGTTTGGAATTCTGGCAACAAGATGTTTTTCTTCTGTTCTTTAAAATGTCAAACTTTTAACAGATCATTGTCCCAACAGAATCAGAGATTCAGAGAAGTGTCATGATCAAAGACACTCACCATTCTTCTGAAGAGGAATTCAGGAAATGCAAGTTCAGCTAGTATAAAGAACTATCACCTCTTTGCTCTGGTTATGTGCATCTTTAAATTAGCCATTAGATAATTCTGCCACTTCACTGAACTTTCTGCATTGAAGATATTTATTCTTCCTTGTCCAGGAGAAATGGCTTTAGTTGTAGTTATGGAAATAAAAGAGATAATAAAGCTCTCATGCAAATCTTATGTTTTGTATATTTTCTTATTTGACTATAAAAGTGATATTCCCAAAGGTGTGGAGTCAGGGTTGTTTTAAAACTGCTGATGAGCATCACCCATTGCTATCTTAATTAAATAGTAGTGATTTACCCATTACAAAAGACTTTGTTCCATTACAAAATCCTTTCCTAGTGTATGGAGGCATAAAAAGAAAGTGTAATATCATCTGCATTAACCATTTCTATAGAATAGAAATAGTAAAGCTGAGTTCCTCTTTTGAAGTATTTTGAGATCTTCTCATGGAATGTGCAGCAGAGGCAGGTAATTTCATTATTACTCTAAAAGCCTCTTGCCTTCTCTAGACTGGCAGGTACCCGCTCAAGCAATTAAGATACGTGATGCTATCAATTCAGGGTGTTCCTTCCTTTAGCTGGAATAGTAATAGGACCTTGGAAACCACATAATAAAATTACTTTTCAACTGAAATATAACATACTAGAGCACTGCTGCTTCTTTTTATGCAAGGATCCCCCCACCTATGGAGAGATCTTGCTGACAGTTCCTGTTGCACTCCTGCCCCAGGATAGTGATGATGATACTGCATTAAACATCTCCTTGGAAGCCAGCAAGCCTCTATTGCTTCTGTAAACATCTGCTGGCAAGCAGAGCTTGCTCTTCTCTTCCTGTGCAATGAAACCATGGGGAAGCAAGAATGAAAGCAAGAATTCCTCAGTCCATTAAAACCTGGAATTTCTGCAATATTTAACCTTCTAGGATTATTTGCTTCTGGAATAGGAGAGGCTTCCCACATGATGATTGGTGGGAGAGAAGAAGAAAGTCAACAGTTATTTCCTGTGACCTTTTTCTTGTTGCTTTTTCTGTTGTGTGAAGGTAGCCAGGAGAGGGTTTTCAGAGTTGTCCTTATTCTTTAGGTCTCTCTTATCCCTTCAGAAAAGTCTGCAAGGTGTCAGCATCCCCTGCCTGAGGAATTTTGGTTCACTAATGCCCAGATTAGGGTACTCATGAAGATTCAGAAGAGACTTTTATGATGTTTTTTAACCAGAGGGGAAAAAAAAAGATAAAACCAAAAAAAGGTGTTTGGATTAAAAGTACTTTTAAGTTGTAAATTTAATAATGAGAACTCCTGTCATCAATTTGCTTTTGCACATAGAGTGGGCTAAACCAAGGAACTTCCACTAAATTTCCTGGATAGTGGGCAGATCACATGTATGTTATAAGTTTTCCTTTATCTCAGAGAGATGGAGCCCAGCTTCCTGGAGAAAGAGCACTGTGCATTCAATTCTGATTTGCCATTATCATAAAACACTCTTTAATGACAACATATAGTATGGGGGGAAACTGGTGAGAAATGCTAAAAAAATTAATGTCAGTGGTGTGATTTGTTCATATGTTTAAAACTCATCCCTGGAATGGATTCGTTTGGGTAAAGCACTAACTGTATAATGACCACAACTCTTGCCAGGAGACTCTTGTTTGCCAAAAGGGAAGCTGAAGTCCCCAAAATCTTGTTTTACATTCACCCGCAACATGGTGGGAGCAGGAGTCATGGCACATACATTTGGCCAGTCAGGGGGACTTTTGGGTTCAGCATTCTTAATCACTTTATTATTGGATTCTTTTTTTGGGCCACTCTTTGTGCATTAATCAACAAAGTCCAGATCAAGAGAGGTCAACGCAAAGGCTCCCCAAATTTGCCGCTGCCCTTTCCACAATTGAGATCACTCCTTTAAACTTTAGACCAACATTTTTCTTTATGGCATCAGTGGACTAGGGTAACATTTGCTTCAAATGAAATGTATTTCCTTAAGATTGACAGAGGGCCCCTGTAGCCTTGCTTGCCTGCAGGAGCAGGGCAAGAGGAAATGCCAAGGGCAAGTCTTGCTCAGACCTTCAGTCTTGTTCCCTTTAGATCCAGAATGTGTTTCTTTTTTTATTCTTCCCTTCAGCAATGAATTGAGTTCCTGTAGCAGAAGGAAGGATTGTTGACCTATACATTCACAGTGGAAAGGTTACTTCAATCAGAGGGGAAAAAAGTCAAAAACAAGAAGAAGTGGTCCCCAAATTGTGTGTGTGCATCTGGGAAAGAAAGCTCTTCTTCTCATAAACAGAGGTGTCAGAAGAGAGCTCCTTTATGGTACTTAACAGCAATCGTTCTAGATTACATTTCTTATTGTTTTTAGTATTAACATGAGCACACTTGAGAACTCCACTCCTAAATCAGAACCCATTTTGTTAGCAATTGTACAAATAATTGCACAATAATTGTACAAAGTGTGTAAAATAATTGTACACACTTTCCCTTTGTGGGAGATCTTACAACTTTTTAGGAGAGTATATAGAGCAATTATCAGGCCAAAAAATTGTTTTTCGTTTAAAAAAAAAAGTCAATAAATAAGCATAGTTCTTGACTAGACATAGAATAAGAAACTATTATTAACCCCTTACCAAAGGATTTGTTTCTGGTTTTTTTTTTTTGTTCTTTACTTTTTGTTGTTGTTCTTTTATCTTTTTAATTTATGCAAAAGGTCCCTCCCTGTCATCTCCAAAAATGCTGGTGAAAATGCTATGTGAGGATGAAGAATTGATCTTATTTCCTCACTATGAATATGCGCTGTCCTTCTGGCTCTGGGCAGAGCTCAACTGCAAAGAGTCACTGAGAAAGCATAGGTCCCTGGTAATTACTTCTGTGGATGGGGACAAATATAATAAAAAGCAGCCATTAATGGACTTCAGTAACATCCATGGTCAAAGTACACAAACCCTGTATCAGCCAGAGGTTGGGAGGGCTAAAGCAATTTTCCCAGCTGTGTGATCTTTCTGTGACTGGAGCAAGAGGCTTTTGAGAGCACAGCAGAGCCTTCATGTACACAAATGTACACAAAAGCTGGATGTTCTTCCAAAGCAAGGACAGGGGAAGCAGTTAGTGGGAACCCTCTGATTCAAGCACAGGTACCTTAGGAAATGTGAGAGTAACAAGCACATCCTGCATGAAATCAGGTGTTTTCAATGGGCAGAGGACCTGTGTGTATCTTGGGAGGGTGAGGAGGGTGGGTTTAGACAAAAGAAGAAACAATAAAATGAAGTTTTTTAGTTAGTTCTTAAAATAACTAATTACTTAATAGTTAGTACTTAAAATAACTAATTACTTAATAGTAATAGGCTAGTAAAGGCTAAAATATTTCCTACCAACCCTGACTTGCTGTCCTTTGAGACAGCCAGCCACAGCAATAGTTTTTAAATTCCAGTAAGAAATTCAAAGCTGTTCAAGAAGTCCTCGAACCACAATAAAATACTCATATTTTCTGTATATAACTTTGTGCACAAGACTGTATGTATAATTAGTCATGCACAATCACCTGTATTTATTGGAATCTGAGTTTTCCAAGACAAATGCATCCTCCTGTTTACAACATTTCTTTTCCTCAGAGACTGCACAGCGATTGCTTTTCATATAATAAAGATGATTTATTTCCTTGTTGCATCACTTTGAAAATGTGACTGCTTCTGGAATGATACTGAGCCAAATGGTTTAGGTATCTGGCCAAGAGTAAGTCTGTGAAGTTCAGTTCAGTGCCAGTTCCCCAAATTACTATACTGTACCAGTTTCCCTAAGGCCTTTTCTTTACAAGGCAACACCTTTTCTTTTGACCTTAGACCTTGTCATTGCATATCCTTTTGACAGTGCTTTGTAACATGCTACGAGTATGGTGGCACATTTCACCTGTGGTTTTGCCCCAGGCCATGATGCAGCATTTTACTCAAAATCAGCCTGTGGCTGCACAGAGGTATGCAAAATTTGCAGTCTCTATAGTGAAAGGAGCTGTACTCTGAAATATCCATCCACAGATATAGTGAAAACCTAACTAGACAAGGGTTTAATGGTCTTGGTGTAAATTTGAAGTCAGTTTAAAGCATGAGGGTTCAACTCGATGTCCAGCTGAGACCCTTTCCCCATCTAAAGTGTTCTGTGGGTTTTCAGAGAAGCCAGGCATGACAAGGAGCATGATGCAAAGTGGAATTAAAATCAGACTGCCCTGAGTTGTTAGAGCTGGTGTAGAGGTGATGTAGAGGTGACCATGTCACCAACAAAAGTCATCCCAGCTCACTCACACAGATGTTTGGTGAAAGGTGGAGTGCTATGGAGAGAGGCCACTATCTGTGAGTGCTGATTTCAGCTCTGGAGTAAGCAGCAGTCACTAACATTCAGTCTCCGTCCTGTAGATTTCAAGGTTTCCTCAGTCCTGCCTCAGGTGCTGAAAGGAGTAGTAGTTCCCTGCTCATTATGTACTCTAAGTGTACACCAGAAAGGCTTGTCTTTGTGAAAGAAGCCTTTTGACTGTTGGTCTTGTCTTACTTCCCAAAATCTGTATTTGTGTCCCACCAAACTGCCTTTGGAACTGATTTTAGGGCTTCTGTCA